AAAAGTGGGACTTCTAGAAGGAGTAGATGAATATTTGAGTGCTTAGTCCTCCTTTTATAAAGGAACTGTGTGACAGTCTGCTTTGAATTTGAGGTAAGAAAAAAATAAAAATCTGTGCTAAAAACAGCAAGGAATTTGAAAAAGACTATCCTCTTTTCTAAAACTTCTTTCAGTCATCCCACCATGAGAAATACCTTACTGGTTTGCTTTTTCCACAGATACCAGGCTCCTGATATTTGGCATAGCTCTTCTCTTTTCTTACCAGCTCTTTTTAAACAAATCCTTACTCCCATGGCCCCTGCAGGCCCATTCTGTTTCTCACTAGAACCAGAAGCATCAACACTATCCACCTAAAAGAGGTGGCCAGTGAATCCATTTTTACCCAACTGGAGATTTTTAGTCATTGTTTGTTCTGTCATTTTAGTAAATAATGAAAGTTTTTATGCACATCTATATATGTAAGTGTAGGGATAATTTTTTTTCTCCTGAAAGGTGGCCATATTTTTTTGAAAAAAAAAATATCTAGTTTCAGCAGAAAAAAAACTAATTAATATATCATGACCTAATAAAACAGGGGGGCACCTAAATTCACTTTCATCATTAACATTTGCTTCATTATCAACATTATGAAAAGTGACAATTCATTTTCATACATTTTAAAATTTGAAAAAGTTGAAAGTGCTGGGAGCCATTAGCCAAGTAGGTATGACAATTTCCTTGCCAGCGTACCCCATGTTGCAGTGACATTGAATGTAGGTGACCTTGCTCAAGGACCAAGGCGGATTAGGGCGTTCTGGTTTAGGTTCCAGGTTTAAGCTTTAAGATTATTCCTGCTGGGAATAGGGCGTATCCTGCTGCCTGAGTTCCCCTTGAGTTCTCACGGGATTCAGACAGTAATTTTTGGGAGATAGAAGCCCAGTGGAGGTGGATTTGGGCAGAGAACGTGGATTTCCCCAGAACGTGTTTGTAGACGGCTGGTGTGAGTTCGGGAATAAAGAGTTGCTGTTTGAATCTACAAGCTGTGTGGTGGCTCGTGATTGTGTGCCCAGCCAGACTGCGGCATTTGTGCCCAGCCAGACTGTGGCAAACATTAGGCACAATCCTTTCAATCTGGCCCTAAATCTATCTTGCCTAAGATTATACACCAAAAAAGATAAAACAAATCTATACAAACAACAATAAAAATGCTTTTGTCACTGATTAGAAAGTAAATGTTCAGTTTCTGTGTCAGAAACCAAGGCCAAAGAGAGGAAATATATTGTACTGATTAATTCAATTAATGGATCAGGAAGAAGAGCTACAGCCATAAACTCTTTTGGCATCATAAGTCTAGGCTTGGAGCCAATGGATTCTTAAGGTTTATTTGGAATAGCACACATCTTCATAGCCTCCAAGGAGGGCAGTTAATTTACAGGCCATCCTCACACATTGGTGACTGGATTGTCTAAGATGTCTTTGTGGGCAGGAGAAAGGTTGGCAAATTATAATTAAAGAAGTAAACATGCCCCTAAATCTTGTGGCTGAGTGTAGCTACCTCTCCAGTCCTTCCTCCCTAGAGGTTTTAGTAATTTAAGTCAGTATAGTCACAAGTAAATATAGTCACAATTCTGATGTGTGGGTTAAAAAAAAAAAAAATCAGAGAAATTCTTCTAGTGTTTTCAATACAAAAGACCAGTATTCTATTTTACTCCCTGAACACAAAAGTCATATACTGAGTTACTTACATGTAATGGTCAAACTGGAAAACAACATTCATGTAAACTGAAGTACCAAAGAATGTCCAACATCTGTTCCTATTTTGCATGGAAGAACTGTTTAATGAATGTGAATATTTGAGGCCAGCTTGAAATATGCATGGAGATTTACTTTTTCATGGATACATATAACAGTTTAGAAACAGTGGTCATCCCCAAAATTCCATCTACTTTATCTCATGGAACAGAAGCCTTCAGCCTCTACCCAGCCCTAACTTCCCAACTCTGACCTCCGGATAATTCAGGAGGTTAAGAAGCTGGCCATGTGGTGAAAAGATTAGGTAGGATACCTTTCTAGAATTCAGAATTAGAACTATGATTATATTTTTTCTTTATGGGGAAAAGAAATGAAAATTAAAACAAAATATTATTATTAATATTATTGATCAAATTTTTTAGATTGCTACCTCAGAATCCAACTTCTGATATTATATCTATATAGAAAATAATGTGCAATGTATAAGTAAACTTTAAAAGTCAAATCTATTTAAGATGTTAATATTATCTATTCTGCAATGTATTACAAGTTTAAAATCACACTGTATACTTAAAAAATACTTTCTCACACAAATTTTCAGTGAATCCTTCTAACAACCCAATGTGTTTGACAGAGAATGTGTTGTTATTTTTATATTTTAATGGTGCCACTATAATAGAAAGTGTAAATGACCTGTCTAAGCCCATTCAGTAAATAAGGAATGCCTTCCTTCATTTAGCTAATAAGGACCTCTGCCTGCCTCAGCTTCACATTTCCTACTCCTTCCATACCCATCCATGTGTGTTCAAATTTCTATTATTCTTCACATTCCAGTTCAAGTACTTCTGCTTTGATAACAGAGCTCCAAATTCCCTCTGGTAGTAATGGTTTCTTCCTTTGTCCTAAGTACTTTCTGTCTCTTCCCACAGGAATAAACAGATTTGGAATTAGATGCTTTGAGTTATTCTTGGTAACTTACTATCTGAGGAGCCTAATAACTAAAGCAATCAGAGCAACCATCTGAACACCAGTTTCCTCACTAGTGTAATAGAAAAAATAGAATTTTTGCCCATGGAAATATTTGGAAGTTTAATTTTGATAAAAGAAATAAGAATTATGTGAAATGTAAAGCCCTATATAAAGTTACTATCCATTCTCTCTCTCTCTCTCTCTCTCTCTCTCTCTCTCTCTCTCTCTCTCTCTCTAATGCACAATTTTATTTCCCCTATTTCTACTTTAGGAAAGAGCCCATTATCTAACAAATATTTTATTCTGTCAAAGTACTCAATGGTGCTTCACAACTTGGCATTTGATACAAATTTGGAAAATAATCAAATGCATGACTACATTAATCAAAGTATGTTTCAGAAAACAGACATCTATCACTACTGCTGAGTATAAAAAGCAAAAAATATGACTTCAACCCATCTCCAAACTCACTGCCCATTTTCTCCCCATCATCCAGCTAACTTGGATTTATTCCTGATTTCCAACATACATCTTCCACTTTTCTGTTTCCAGATCTTGACCTAAGTCATTACCCTTTGTCATGTTCTCTATCTATTAAAATAGTACTAACCCTAACACCTAGCTCAAATACCACTTGCTCCATGAAGATTTCCTTGATCTTATCCACTGGAAATGGAATAAATTTCTACTCTGAAATCCATATTTGTTCAGATCCCTCACAGTTCTTAACATCTGTACACACAATATATTTCCTTGTGCATACATTTATATAGTTTCTAATTGAGTATATTTTAATCATGGAAAGATCAGCATTCGTGTTTTAGTATATGTATGTCCCACCAAACATGTAGCAGAATGTACATTTAGTACATATTCAAATACTATCTGTCTTCCAACTAATAGCTATACAAATAACATGGTTTAAATTCCCAACTTCATATGTTTATCTTATAAATTGCCACTCAAATATAACAAATTCAAACATTTGATAAAATTATCATTTGAGATCATTATTACTTTTTCTATTGAGATAGTACACAATGAGCAGAAACATATCATTACCAAAATTTAAAAAACTACATATATAAACAAATTACTTATAATTTCTTCATTAATTTGAATGTAATGTGTTCTTATTAGTTGCAATACCAGTAAAGAATAATGTATTTAAAATGTTAAAGCACTTAATATGACTTTTGGTTAAAAGAGTAAACAGTACTTCAGAAAAAAAAAAAAACAGATATTGACATATTTTAAATCTACATCATTTTCATTTTCATTAGCACCCAATAACAGTTATCAATACTCATTATTGTTATAATTTATCATAACATAGATTTCACTTACAACAAGCATATACAAACCTCATCTTAGGGATATTTAAATCAATAATCCTTCACTGCCTGCTGTCAGTTACTTCCTGAGTATTCACAGATATGATGCGTGGTCAGCCCACTAACAGCTGTCCTCCAGATGGACTCCACATGCCTTCTCATCAAGTAGGGGCTATTGGATCTGCTCTCTTATACTCTTTTAGACCCTACACCTATTCACCCCCACTTTATTCATATTATTATCCCATCTTCACTATATACTTCCTTAACTCAGAGAATTTCCTAAGTGCTCTGCTATTTTATGTTTCGTTCTTTTGTACCTATCTGTGTCACAATTAGTCCCTTTATGATTAGTGGTTAGGCAGACTTACACAGGAAAAGCCTTGGCAATATTAACTGTAATCATCAGAGAAGACATTCGTCAATGCTAAACTTGCTTTAATGACTTAATTTTTTTGTATTGATCTATGCCATTTTCAATGACTAGCAACTAATGAGGGAAACATGCCCTCATTGGATATATCAAAATTCAATTTTACATTAAAACTGTATGTAGAATCCGAGATCACTGTCCACTTTTCCCTAAAACAAATATGATTCTAGTCAAGAATACCAAAATTTCGGTAGGTAGGAGCATCAATTTAAAACTTAAAGCAAAATCATTTTATGCCAAATAACAAACAATGTAGATATTACACGGAGTGAAATGAGTAGGAACTCAGCATCTTTCAATCAATTTGTACTTGTTTTATGTGCCAAATTTTCAAAAATTGTGCAATATTTGGGGATTATTGGAGAAAACATAAAAAAATCAATTGACAACTGAAAACAAAGGAAGAGGGGAGGGAAGAATGAACAATGGAACTAGAGAAAGACAATGCCATTCTACCATATAAGGTAAACTAAGCATCATTTACAGAAGGATGATATGCTTTAAGAACACGGACTCTGAATACATCCACTCACCTTGGTTAAATGAGGATTTGGATTAAAACCACAGAGGCTACAGACCATGGTCTGACACTCAGTGCATGTGTTAAAATTGGCCTTTTCTGGATCGTGCAACAGAAGTTCAGTGGTATTGCAAAGAGGACAGATGGTTTTACTTGGGCCTTGTACTGGAGTCTGTGCTACAGATGGAGAAGTTGGTGGTGGTTGTGGAGGTTTCTCAGTTACCATTTGGCTTACTGGTTTTGTAGACTGATATGCTGAGGGCTTTGCTGGGCCAGGCTGCTGAGGTGGGGGCTTTGCCTGGCTAGACTTCTGAGGTGGGGGCTTAGCTGGGGCAGGCTGCTGAGGTGGAGGCTTAGCTGGGGCAGGCTGCTGAGGTGGAGGCTTAGCTGGGGCAGGCTGCTGAGGTGGGGGCTTTGCAGGGGTAGGCTGCTGAGCTGGAGTCTTTCCTGGCCCAGGCTGCTGAGCTGGAGCCTTTCCTGGCCCAGGCTGCTGAACTGGAGTCTTTCCTGGCCCTGATGGCTTAGCTGGAGACTGTGGTCCAGGTTGTTGACCTGGGGGTTTTGGTGTACCAGGCTGCTGGGCTGGAGACTTTGGCCCAGGCTGAGATGAAGGCTTCTCTGACCCAGCCTGCTGAGATGGAGGCTTTGTTGTCCCTGGCGGATGGGCCAAGGGTTTCACTGTCCCTTGCTGTTGAGTGAGGGTCTTCACCAGCCCTGGTTGCTGGACTGCAGGCTTTGTAGCCCCAGGCTGTGGTTTTTCAGGTCCAAGCTGCTGGGCTGGAGATTTTCCAGAAGTTGCTTGCTGAACAGGTGATTTGGATGGGCTCTGCTGTGTGGGTTTTACTGGTTCTCCCCTTACTGTGTCTGACTGCTTCGTTTGAGGCCTGGCTGCATCTCGCTGAAGTGGTGATTTTGCTGTGTCTGTCTGAGCAAGCTGGGCAGGCCCCTGAACTGGCTTTCCTGTAGCAGGGGGTTGTGGTTTAATTTTTTCTGGCTGCTGAGAAGATGCTGATTTGGGAAAGCCATCCTGCTGAAGTGGGTCCTTAACAGGTCCTTGCTGCTTGGGAACTGCCTTGGGTGACTGTTGCTGTGGTGGAGGTTTTGTGATTCCTTCCGGTTTTCCCTGTTCCTTTTGAGCTACTTTTTGTTTCTTGGTGGCTTCTTCCTGGGATACCTCAGAGTCTGATATTAAATCAAAAGGGTTGAATTTATTTACAACAGAGGATACAGCACTTAAAGGGTTAACTTCAGAGAGGAAACCAGGCATCATGCTAGACTTGTGCTCTTCTTTAAAGTCAGTTCTGGACTTTGATTCTTTCAAGCTAATAGTGGAAGGACTCCTTCCAGGTAATTTCTGCTCTGACCTGAAAGTATCTGTAGTTCTACTTTTACTGAGACCAGGCTGAGCTGGACGCCCTGGGTCTGGAGGTTTTCCTGGTTGCTTTGGAGAATGACTACTATCCAACTCTTGTTTCCTAAAAAAGAAAAAAAGTGAAAATAGTAGAAGTTACTTCAAATCAAATATTAAAAGGCTATCACTTTGTTATATTCCTCAAAATTATGAATGCAAAAATTTAAGTAGAAACAATTATGTAGCAACCTATGAGTGATCACAATGGTCTTGCTATTTTTTTTTAATAAGTGGGTAGAAATTTTCAATAGGGAGGTAAAGAAGAAACAATACTTGCCAAGAGTAATGAAAAATTAAGATATACAGATTACAAATATTTATAATGAAAATAATTTATGTATATTTAATAGAATCTTCAAATACTTAAAACTTAAAAATGTATGTTTAAATTAAAAACCTAAGTAAGTCAATGAATGTCCTATCATAGTTCTTATGTAGTCACCAGTGCATCTTTTTTAATTGAAATTTATGGTCAAAGAAAGTCTCCTAAGTAGCAGGATCATTAAGAAGTAAAATTATTCATTTTAAAATGTAGGAGTTTGCTTGACTTTGAAACTGTACATTAGTTACATAAGGCACACAATGTGACATTAGGGGGTTGTGAGTAATGTAGGATAAATGATGCCTTTCTAGGGACATTAAGAAAATTGATAACCTATTCATATTTGCTCTATTCTATCTAGAAAGTTAACATCCATTAGATATTGTACCTTTAAACTTTATGGAATAAGGATCTCTACATTCATTAGATATTCTTAAAAAATAAATCCATCTTTTTGTTAAGACCAATGGTATTTATATTTTCAAATAGATAATTCTTGATCTGAAATTTCTATTCAATGTTAACAACACATGCTTAAAGCATCTTGAGATACAGTCTGATATCCAAATAACAGCAAGCAAGGTATGTCCCCACTATTAGGAAGCACTGTTACTTTCCTCAAATGAAAATACACAGTGATCTGTATACTCAATATTGCTGAATTTTTTATTATTATCACTGATAGATTATTCATAATCATATTTATTACTATTTAGATTGATATAAATATGTAAAAATTAATTTTAAAGTTTCCTTTAAATTTGTAGAAAAATATGTAAGATGAACTTTGTAAAAATACTAAATACTATCAATTTAAATGACTATGGTTAAATAATTAAAATAGGTGTTTCTTAATATAAATACGTATAATTTACTCAAACATTACATTAAATGTTTACTTTTTAAATAAGCCATTCTTTACAAATAAATTTGCAACTAAAAGAGTATTACATATTATAGTGTTACAGAAAATCAGATAATTGTTTTATTTGCCAAGTATTGCTTTTCAATTTTAGAAAAATTATAAGAGATAAGGATAAAGAAGTAGAGATCCAATAGCACCTAAAATATGATAATAATAAAGCTCTACAGATTTTAAATCAGTGCACCAAAATTTACCTACTAAAGTAAACTACAAATTTTTAAATTTTGTATCATTCAATAATATACATTTTCCAAAACTTCCCTACTGATGTAGAAATCTGGGTACAGACCATGAGATAAGACACAGAAGAAAGAAGCATCAAAGACTCAGAATGGAAACAATCTATAAATGGCAATGTAGGCAAATATTTGTGATAACAGTAAATGCCAAAATTGAGATCAAGCTCCTTGCACCACAAATTATAATTGCATGTACTTCCTACAAACATTAAGTTAAGCTATATTTTAAAAATTCTCCCTGCCAGAAAAGACCTATGTAGCCATGAAGGTTGCTCTACCATGTAAACTCAATTTAAATTTTTGTTGTTGGAATTATGTAAATAAAACACAAAGATCTGAGACTGAGAAATAGAAGGAAAATCATTAAGAGAAGGTATCAGCTTAATACCAAACAAAAACGTAAATCTACCTTAGTTAATTGTGGTCTTCTGTGAATTTTTGTTGGTTTAGCAGTTGTTGTGTTAAAACCAAAGTAATTAAAATATAATCTGTGCCTTGTACACTGGACCATGAACTCCTAGAGAGAGTGTATTTCACTCATCTTTCCATCACTAGAATCAATCCTGAAAACTAGTAAACAGGCATTAATATTTGATGAATTAATGAATAAATGAATGGTTAACAATGAGCAAACTGATGAATGAACATGTTGGGTTTTTGTTTCACTCTAGATTAATGTTTCTTGAATTCTTTTTACCTCAAATTCTTCTAAAGGCCCTCTACCATACAAATGGATATATCCCATACTCATTTTAAAACCTGGACTTTTCAGGTTGCCCTGGGGGGAAAAAAAAACAGTAGTGCAGGTGGCTACTCAGTAGGGGAGGCCCCAAGGAATACTAACGGAAATAATCAATTTAGCCAGGACTCTTATATTCTATCAGAAAAGTTTTCTAGTAAGCCCTCTCATACGACAAATCTGTAGCCATAATAGAATGAATAGATGAAGTAATAAAATTGTACTACAATGAATAAAAAATCTAGGAGGATTTTATTTGTATCCTGCCTTCTACTTCTAGCTTGTAGGTACTCAGGTTTAATGCTATCTCCTTTTTCATTTTATTATTGCCATCCCCAGAGAAGAATTTTTCTTTCAAACATTAGTAGAAAAGATATTTCAACTAAAATAAGGTCAATATGTATGCAAATATAAGAATGTAAAAGCAGCTGGAATAAAAAAATATTTTAATCCCCATTATGACTCTATAAGTATTATTAGCTCTATTTAGAGACAAGGAACCTGAGGTATATTTTGGTTGTGAAGTGCATGTAATTAGCTATGAGTCAGTTAAAATCAATAGGATAAGAATCTTGTTTTGGAACTGCCAATCCTTGTTTCTTAAAAATAAAAATAATAATAATAATAAATCTCACTATGTCCAATTTGTATCTCTTTAACATCTGAAACTTCAAATAATGTGGATATGCTCTCATATGCATATATATAAATTAACATAATTCTAAAATTCTAAATGATAGACCTATGTTTCTCTGGTTATCATATGTGTGGTCAATTTTTTGTATACATTTTACAAAAATATTTTAGTAAGATATAAGCATTTTGCAAAAATAAAAGAATACTGTTATTCGAGTATCTGGAGGAAGCCTTCACCAAGAACTGTTTAGGTCACAGATTACCTGTTCATAACAATTCCACCATAACAAAATTATTAATGGAGAGCTTTAAGAATATATTATCTAATAAAATACTACATAAAGTAACATTTTATGGGCTAAAATAATATTTCTCAGCCACTCTCTGAACAGAAAAAAAGTTAAGAATCTAAAAATCGAAGACCACACTTTTCTTGGTATTTGTAACCAGCATGCTAGACCTGTTGCATGTGCCTCTTTGGAAAAATTACAATGAGCTGGCATACATTTCTAAAATGCTAATAAAAGCACTGGACCATGTTATTATCCTATGAAAATCTAGTATATGAACATTAAATGTTTTTACAAGTCAAGTTTTCATCAAGTAAATAAAAGAAATGCATATTATAAACTCTACCACTGAGGTAATAAAAAAGAAGGCTTTATATTAAAGAAATGACCCAATACATGAATAGTTTTTAAATACCAAAAAGCATATTTAATATAATGAGGCTAATTTTCATCAGTAGTGATTTTCTTTCAAGATAAATAAGGGTTTTACCTGACAGATTTTCCACACTTAAGATATTATGTGACAATACTGTCACTGTCCATAATTCTTTAAGTTTCTCCTATATTAAGTTTATTAATATAGTTATCTGGAAAAATTATATACTTATACGATTGTGACTATGTTAAAATGCTCTTATTTTACAAAGTAGAGGACTATTACATCTGTATGTCCAGGTCTTTTGTATTTTCAATATCTTTAAAAAATCGTATATTTCCCCTCAGTCTCATAAGGAAGGGATGATTTCAGGACCATGGAAAGAGACTTGTTCTCTGCTGAAGGGTGCAAAGTTAGTTTGTTTACAATTATAAAAGCAGGGCAAGCAACTATTATGCCCTTTTAGTACTTTAATTAGGAAACAACTGATTTATGGGATGAAGAAAAACAGTAGAAAAAGAAATGAATAGTTGATTTCAGATTAGCTCTCATAATTGCCGATACAAGTTGTCATTTATTTGTTTTGTTTTTCAAAGTGTGTAATGAAAACTAATTTTAAAGTAATAAAATGTTCTCCCATAAACTGAAAGTCACTTTTGCATAAAAAGAGCAATGGTTTAAAAATGACATATGCTAATTCAGAAATACATGTACAGCACCTGCTCTGCTGTGACCAAACCATCTGTTTAATGCCACAACATATTTCAGGGTCTCACAACTGAATATATAAGGTGTGTTCGTTCTATGCTTTCTGCTTAAACAGCTCCTGTTCTCCTCTGGGGGTAAGGTGGAGAGGGCAAATCACTTCCAGAGAGATTGAGGGTATTGTTACAGGACTATTTAGACAACATTCGCAGAGAAAAAGACCCCGAAATGCTGAGGAGGTTTAAACAGATACAGGTAAACACCCAGCCCAGCTCTATCCATTTCCTAACACATTCGCATTGTATTAATGGAAGACTTCCAGATTAGTAAAACACTGGAGGGCGTCTCTCCGTGCCATCCTAGAGGGAAAAGGTTCCAAAAGGCCAAAAATCACAACCTAAAATCACAGTTCCAAGAATGCAACCCTTTACTATCCCACTAGAAACTCCATCATGCATCATTTTTATTACGCCCGTGAAAAAGCTTATGATCTCTTTATCGCCACCCCATTAAGGAGAATAAAATGAACGGAGGCGACATATATGTACCGCCTTGTTAGCACATATGGGTTGGCACATATGTGCACGAGAACCTGTACATATATGCCCGGACATATACAGCATGCTGTGCGTGCCTGTGCATGGAAGGCGACTCCGCAGCGGCCGGGGGAACGCTTCCCTTGGGCAGCCCCTGCGCCCTTGACATGACAGCAGCGATCTGTCTCCTTTCCTCTTCGCTCAGCTGGCTCAGATCCGCCTCCATGCCGGCCGGGATCACGGTGTGCAAAGGGGTCCCCGCCCCGCCGGCCCCTCCTCCGGCCGCAGCCGCCGCCAGCCCTTCGGGGAGCCCTTCCCCTTCCAAGCTCGCCTCGTTGCCCATGGCTCAGGGAGATTCGGGGCCGCTGCGCTCCCGCCTTGCGCTGCGTCCCGGTCGAGAAGCCCGCGGCCGGAGAAGCAATTGGAGCCGGGGTCCGCCCAGGGCGTGCAGGCTGCTGAGTCCTTAGTTCTGCACTCGGCTCAGTTGCTGGGAACGCCAGGCGAGGATTAGTCCCGTTCGCAGGTGACGCCCGCCAGAGCCGGTGTCTCCTCCATGTTGGACAGCGCCAGGCAACCTTTGCAGAAGACGCCTCCCCGACGCCGCCTCAGCGCTGTGAGCTGGGGAAAAGCAGACCTGAGCCGTGCCAGCCAGGCGCCGTCTGCCCCTCCCACCGCGCCCCGCCTCCTGCCCGCGCCCTCGCCGTGCGCGTGCGCCTCGGAACAGGTGATGCCCGCGCCCCTCGCCCAGCCCACTCTGCGTCGCGCTGTGTCTCTCTTCGCTCTCACCACCGATTTAAAGGAGCCGAGCAAGAACACTGATAAAAGCCAGGACCAAAGAGCTGACGTTTCTTTCAGGCATATTTCAGGATGCCTCAACTTGAGTTTTAGCTGACCAGATTTAAGGGAGAGTGGGGAGGCAGTGGAGATAAGTGTCTGCTTCTAGCTTTGGTTCCTGGGACTTGTAGTTTCTTTCTTTCCTTTTTCTTTTTCTTTCTTTTTTCTTTTCTTTTCTTTCTTTCTTTTTTTTTTTTTTCTTAAGGGAGGGTTTTCAAAGATCCTAGAAAAGTGTTCAGGTAACTGGAAATGAAAAAGAAAGACACTTCATACCTTTGAGGGAAACTTCCCAAAAGGAGCCAAGAAAGGCCTTTTCAATTAGAACTTTCCAATTAGATTAAAACTATTTAAAGTGATACATAAACAAGCCAGTAAGGTTTTTGAATCCTTATAGCTTGTGTTGTAGTCCAAATGGACTACACAAAAGTAAAGGATTGTGGATAATGGGATATTGTGCACTAGGGGAACTATAGTAACATCTAGATTGTTAAATATTAAAATGTTATAGCGATGTTGAAATATTAAAAACGAGATTTTATCCCCTTCCTCCTCCACTCCACCTTCATTTCTTTAAAACAAATATGGAGAGAAGACTGTATAAATGTAAATTAGTATGAGTCACACAACTGGTTAGCAGTATAGCTAGAACTAATATAACTCCCCACCACCACCACCACCCAAGCTTCTTGCTCCTCTTTAAGAGGGGACTTGTTTCAGTCAGCTATTTTGCTGTTGTGAACAAAAGACCTGACAAGAACAATTAGAAGAGGAAAAGTTAATATTTGAGGACCCACAGTTTCAGCAACCTCAGTCCATAGATGGCCAACTCCATTTCTAGGGGCCTGAGGTGAGACAAGACATGGTAGTAGGAGAATGTGGCAGAGGAAAGCAGCTGGGAACATGGCACCAGGAATCAGAGAGAGAGTTCTGTTCCAAAAGGGCAGAATATAAACCCCAAAGCAGGCCCCCAGGGAACCATTTCCACCAAGCTCATCCTGTCTGCTTAAAGTTATCACCAAGTAAATCCCAATGTGAGGATAAATGCGCTTATTAGGTTAAACCTCTTATAACCCAATCATTTCACCTCTAAACTTTCTTGCATTGTTTCACACGAGGTTTTGGGGAAACCACATAACTAAAACATAACAGGACTGTTCTATTTCAGCACCGAATTTGTAATTCCAGTTTTGTTACCTACATTTTCTCTCAATGTAGACTTAAAATCTCCACTATTGAGGTTAACAGAAATTCAAAAGCTAACAGTTGAGAAGGAATAAAAAAATCAAATGAATAGGTTGGTCAGAAGGTACATTTCCAAGTTTTTTCTATAATAATCATATAGAAAGATATGTGCTTTTTACTTGTTTTAAAACTAAAAAGTAGCACAGATGTAATAATTTATGATAACGTTTTGGTTTTAAAGATGGCTAGTTGTCAGACAAAGCCATTGGTGGATTTCTTAAAGAAACTTTGAGTAAGCTTTGATTCTCTGATAACCAAAACTTCCAAAGTCAAAACTGCAGGAATCACTCATTGAAATAAAGAAGAGAATGCTCTCTCTTCAAACAAATCAAGATTAGGCAACCTAATATTCTGATGGCCACATTTGCAGTCAAATACAATATACTCATAGCTCCTAAAAGTGAGTGTGCTTTGAAGAAGGACATAATTAGATACAGGAATGGAATCATAATGCCTTCTCTTTCAAAACAGGTAGTTGTTCCATGGTCCAGACTGCCTGAGGATGAGTAGCATTCAAAGACAGATGTGAGAAAAAGGGAGATGGTTTACATGCTGGCTGTTTTCTCATAATATGCTCAAGTTTTGTGAGTATAAAATAATATATGATGTTTCACATCCACAAACCACAAGTTTAAAAAATTAATAAGATGAATAACCTTTCAGCCTCTAGACCTAGAATACTGACTAAGCAGGGGATATTAATTCCATATTCTTTGCCATCATTGGTGAAAGGAACCACTGAAGAAGAAATAATTGATAATATACAAAGTCATGTTGCTAGACAAATAAAAAAAGCAATAATATGTAAATAAAAATATTGTGTAGCCCCTTTGTGAAGATACAGATTCACTTTCTCCTTCCCTCCTCTCTTCTAGGAGCAAATATCATCAGAAAATAGAATGGATTGTATGATAGGAAGAATAAATGGACTATGAAACAAGAGAACTGATGCTGATAGCACTTTGGAAATATTTTGATTGTCTTCTTTTTAAATTTATTTTGCCTTTTAGACCTTTATAACGATGAGTTACTTTTAAAAGTTTTTGTTTTTCTCCAAATCTTCTAATTGGGGCTAAGATGGCTTGTACTTGGAAAGTTTTTTGATCTAAAGAGAAACACTAAAGCAGAGTCCAGGTATGTTCCTTATGTGTGAATTGTTAGAAATCAAAAGAACAAATATGAGAAGTTTAGTGCTGCTTTATAAAATTTCCTTTTGATTACCAGAAAAATATCAGAATTAGTTTAATTCTGTACATGAACTGATAGTGCTATATCCCAAATCTTTGTTGTTCCTTGTTCATTATTTATACTTAGTGTAATAATTATTTGAATTTTCATGTAGCTCAGTGAACTTATATATATAATATATTCAACTTAATATGTTGGTCATGAAACAATTTCTGAAAACCTTTGCTAATACATACTTTATGTCCATTAAAATGGCAACTTCATAGAACCAAACTTTTCCTTTCTTTTAACTCTAGTCTCATTTCCCCAGGTATTTTCTAATTTAGTAGATAGAAGCCAACTTAACAATGATAATTCAAAACTGAACATGATTAGAGAATGCTACCTAGGAAGAGGGTGGGACCTTCTACCCGTGTCTTTGCAGATTCCATTCAACCCAAGATTAAATCAAAACACCATCTGTGTGTTGCCATATATGAAATGCCTGAATAAATTGAGGATTTTCAAAAGTTGCAGTTAAAGATTTCTAATATATAAAATATCTAGTCTCACTAGTTTTTAAATACTTACAATTAAATTATCTTCCTATAATCTAATTCTGCCTATTTAACTAAAAATATTTGCTTGTACTTATTAAAGTCTTTTTAGAAAACAATAATATTAATACTATTATCATGATAATGCTGATGAATGTTTTTTAGAGAAAAAGGTCTTTTGTCACTTAAATTTGGGAATATAAATCAATTCAGGCTTTCTGAAAAATAATTTGACAAGAGTTATCAATTGCCTTAAAAAGATTTTTAATCTATGATATATTTCTGGATATAATTTCTCAAGAATCATTTGAGTTATGAAAAATGGTTTTGTGAAAAATATGTTCAGTGGTTGTTATGTATGATAACAATAAATATAAATAACCATTACAGTTTCAACACATAAGAATAGAGAAATAAAATCTGGCACAACGAGGTGATAATATTTTGTGTATATATTTATTTAAAATATAAGAAATGTTGACATGGTATATACCATATAGTGTTTTCATATGATGTGATGAGTGATAAAACTCAAATGAATCTTATTCTGTGTTTAAAAGTACATGACTTTTTGTGTATGACTGTTCTGTAAGCATATAGACAACATAGCTTAACTTTTTATAGTGGTGGATATACATATGTTCTTTTTTTAATGTTTCTTCTGTAACAGAAGATGATAGAGGATTGTGTTCATTTAGTGAAGGAAGAACCTGCAGTGGATTAAGGTTCAGCATTTCATTTTTTGTGACGGTTGAGCTGCTTCTGAATTGCTGCTCTCAGCCATTTTTGTTAAATCTAAAGTGGTATTTACAGCTAGAATGAAGGAAATTCAGTGAGATTACAGTTGATTATGAACTGAAAGAAAAATTATAAAGGTGTTTTAGAGAAAACTTTGAAATATATATTTAAAATTCTGACATCTGAAACTTCAATTTCTCTCTTTCATACTATTCCAAAGTTAATCTGTAATTTAAATGAACAAGTCACCTATATTTAAACTATGTTCCTATATACTTATGGTATATAATATAGTCATAAAATTTGTTTCTGTCACTTTAAAGTATTTATTTCATAAATTTAAACACATTAATAAGTCATGTTATATCTTAGATGATTAAGCATTATTTATCAATTTATAAATGAACTTTGAAATCTACTGTATAGAAAATGGGGACATGTGTACAGGTCTTATTCTTGATGATTTTTGATTGACAATGTCCAACTTTAAATCTGATCTCTGCCATCTCTCTGCCAATCTCTGCCATTTGGATACATATGTCATTGACTTTTCAGATCTTGAGGTTCCTTAGCTGTAAAAATAGAGAAAATAATACTTCTACCTCTCTCCACGGTTGTGACAATTAAATGGGAAAAAGGTGTGAATGTACTTGTAAACTATCAGATATACTATCCAAGTGTGATAGATTGTTACAGTACTGCTGCCCAATGAATCACTACTCCCCACTCTTTGCACCTCCTATCAAGAGGTAGGGTTGATTTCTTTGCCCCTGAACTAGAACTGAACACTTTGTTTTTTAAATCAAAACAATGGGGGATATGGGGAGAAGTATCATATAATTTCTCAAGTTAGCCTTCCAGTTTTGCCCTCTGTGTATCCTAAGAACTCTATGTTCTGAAAAAGCCCAAGTTGATGAGATTGTAGAGCAAGCAGCCTATCCTGTCCTTTAGCTATCTCAACTGAGGCCTTAGTAAAACCCCTTAAAGCACACTGACCCAGTTGCCCTGCTGGCTAGACACATCAGTGAACCAAGTGAGAACAGAAAAACATGTGTAATCAAACCAAAGAATCACAAAAGGCAGTCAAGACATTGAAAGAATGCAGAGC